CTCCAACTTTTTTTTCTTCACATATTTTACCAAAGCCGGGAGGGACCGTGGCCCTTACAGCTCACAACATAGCTCCGCCACTCGGTAGCTGATCTTTTGATTAGCTTGGATGTGAAGTTTCTACTATATTTGTTGTTTGTTGTAGTTTCTTGTATTTGATTTTTGCCTTCTGCAAAAATATGATACAGCCTAGGCGTACTCTTAAAAAAAAGGAGTTTAATCTAAGGAAAAGGCTAAGGCCCGTTTGGTAACTCGGTATTTTCAAAAAAAAAATCTGAGAATACTGCAGTTTTTCATATTACCATAGTTTTAGTTACAATGAGGTGTTTGTCTACCATTATTTTTTTCATGATAATACATGTCTCATTTATATTATAAGGATCATAATACAAGTCACGTACATACCACAACACTAGCCTTTGTACACAGGAATATCAGCCAAGAAGTAAATTACAAACAAGACTGAAGAATACTTTGAGTTTGACACCAACTCCCGTCACCTGCCTCTGGCACTACCATAGTAGCCATCAAAGGAGAAAATGACGGATCATCTCCACACCCAAACTCGATGCGGCTCCCTCGCTGATATGCAGCTTTACAGACCTGCAAGGTGGTTCGTCAATAAAGGCGAAACTATTGCGGTTGAACGAATCAAACCGGGGCAACACCCCGGACACGACATCAAACTCTAGGTCTGGCACCCTCGCCCAAGTAATACGTTGGAGGAGGAAACCATATATGCCTGCCACGAACCACGAACCCAGCACACGATCCACCATCTTCAAGATGTCGCAGATGCAGACCACAATCTGCATCCGCTCCTGAACTACCTCTCAAGCTCCGCGCCGGCGCTGGAACAAACGTCGTCGCAACAGCGGAGCCCGAGGACATAGGTCCATCACGAGGATGTCACCGACGCCGCACCATCCTTGCTAGAACAGACTGGTTTCCAAATCCACCCTAAAAACGGATCGCCTCGTTGGGGAAGGATCTGAAGATTTATTAGTTGACGCCGCTATCGCCACCGCAGAAGCCAAGACGATGAACAACCCAAAACCCTAGAAAACTAATGCCCAAAATAATCCACACGCGTGGATCCGGCAACCCCCGTCACCACCGACGACCAAGGTGAAGGAAGGCGCCCTGGCGGCTGAAGGCGAGATCGTCTTTCTTTCTTCTCCTGGAAACTATGTTTTTAATACTGCATTATTTGCAAAACCATGGTATTTATCTTCGTATTAAAAAAAGAGCATTGGACCTCCTTTTTAAAAAGAGAGCTCGCCAAAGAATGGGGTCGTTGTTATCTTCTTCCTTGCTCCAAGCTGCTGCTGCCCCTCCTTCATTCTCCCATTGCTTCCGCTCGGCAACCTTGTTCTGCCGGATCTCGTCCTTGAGCTATGCCACGTCAGTGTGGTCCGCCTCCAACCTGCTGCCCCAAGCGCTAACCTTTGCCTCTGCTGAGCTAGCTGCAGCGGTGCACTGTATGTTGGCAGCTTGTCGGGTCGTCGTATACTGTCTATTCCATGCAGCTGAGAGGAACGGGGCAAGCAATTCCTATTGGACTCAAGCTTGCTACTCTGCAAAGCTGAGTTGTTGCTCTTCTTACTCATGCGATTTTTGTCTATCGGTGCCGGCCATAAGAGCAACTCCAATGGGCCGATCCAAACGGACGGTGCTTTTGTCCGCTTTTTGTCCGTTTAGGTCGGTCCGGCGGACATAAACGTCCGACGCTGTGTTTGGGTCGGCACGAGCGTCCAACGCTGACCCGACACATTTTAAAGGCGCGCCAAAAAAATATTGCGAGCAGTTTGAAAATAAATATATGTATTTAATTAAATATAAAAGCCGGCCACGAAGGCCGGCGAAAGTCCACATTACATTAATAAAAACACTAAAAACAAGACGACGCGCTGCCCTAGGCGTCTGCGTCGGGACCGGCGAGGTCGATCAACGTCGGCGCAGGGCCGGCCCAGGGGAACGCCGTGTTCCAGACAACGGCGATGTTGGGCTTTGCCGCCGCTGCCTGGGCCTGGCGCGCCTCCTCGCCGGCCTCACGCTCGAGCATCTGCAGACGCTCGCCCTCCCGGCGCTCCTCGGCCAGCCGAACGCGGCGCCAGTGGTCGAGGTAGGCCGCCTCCTGCTTCTCCGTCGCTCCGAGCCAGATCGGCGGAGCGCTGACCCACTCGCGCACTACTCCGGTCCAGGAGTAGCGCTCGCGGTAGGCCGGCTCCTCCGGCTCGGCTTTGGGCGGGGACGGCGGGGCCACCGGCGGCACGACGCAGTCGCCCACTGCGGAGAGGGCCATGGCCTCCGCCATGGCAGCCTCAAAAGCAGCCTCGTCCGCCTCCCTCCACCGCTCCTCCTCCTCGCTCTCTTTGATGGCCGCCTGGTAGGCGGCCTCAGCCTCCTGGTCCTCGTCGCGGACGACGAGCGCGGGCGGCGGCAGGCTGTGGTCAACGCCGCGGACGCCGCGTCGCCTCGCCTCCTCGTGCTCGAAGGCGAGCCATCGAGCCCAGTTGGGCGAGTCGGGGGCGAAGTGCGGGTCGGCGCGCTGCTCCGACGTCAACAACGCCCGCGGCCGCCACACCTCCTCCGCATGGGCCCTCGCCGTCCGCGACGCCGCCGGCACTGGGATTCTCTCCGGATCCAAATGCGAGTCATGCGGCAGCGTCACGTCCGGGTACGGCAGAGGCACGCGGTGGTGCCAGCGCCACTCGGCCTGGTGCAACGGCACGTTGATGTGCTGCCTCTGTCGGGGAGCTCGCGCCGGCGCGGGGAGGGCGGGGAGGGAGGGGGAATGGCGGGCGGGGGATTTGCCCTTGCGGCTGCTGCCGATGCCAGAGAAGAAACCCATGCTGGCGGTGGCTAGGGTTGTCGCCGGTGTGGGGGTAGGGGTGACCAGATGGAGACGGAGGGCGAGTGGTAAGTGGATGAGGACGGCCCCGCCGCACGTCCGGCTTAAAAAAGTACGACCACCGTCGCTGACGCATGGGCCCAAGATGGGCGGTCGTCATAAATTATGTTGACCATGGCGGTTGGGTGGTCGCCAGATGGGAACGCGACGGACGGCGAGAAGACGCGCGGCGCGTCCGCTTCGCGTCCGCGCCGACGCATTCCAGGCGTAATTTTGGGCCGGAAATGGGTCGGCGCGGACGCCGAACGGACACGATTTGAGTTTGGGTCGGCGCGTTGGGCTGCCACTTTTGTCCGCGCCGACCCAAACGAACACGGGCGGACCAAATAGGTCACCCCATTGGAGTTGCTCTAACACATGTGTATCATACCCAATTAATCAACTCTGATCAACCAAACCATCAAGTGATTGCCACTAGCTAGGAACATGTGCGTTTGTAGCTGCTATCAACAGACTAGTTAGCTAGCTAATTTACATTGCTGCATAAAGCACCAGCCAAACATGTCACGGTATTCCCAGTGCTGCAAAACATGTGTGAAAACTGGTACTGGTACCTTGCATCGACGGGCTAAAATACTGGAGCTTTTCGATACTTTGAATTTGTAATACCTTGCTATTAAAGGCAATTCTTTTGATGGCTTTTAAAATAAGCTGCAATATAATGCCCCCTATCCAGCTTATTCTAGAAGCCTAACTAAATTTATTTTTTGGAAGCCCAGTAGTTAAGTCTTGGCTAGTAGGCTTTAAAAATAAATTGGTTAGGCTTCTAGAATAAACTGGCTGGGTAAAAGTTAACTAGTTCAACCATAGATGGCGTTCCCCACCCTTATATCAGTGCCAGCAAGGCCAGCCAAAGGGAAACCGACGGGTGAAGAAGGATGACTGCAAGAATCAGCAAACAAAATATCACAACCGAAAAAGAAGGGAAAATTAGCATCAGAAACAAGTGGCTTATTCTTTCTCCTGACGAAGAGTTCAGATCTGATTTGTGAAAGTAAGATAAATGAGGCCAGGGTCTGCAACTATCATTACCATGGTTCAAAAATAAAGGAAAACAAAGATTACAAACCAAACAAATATCCTTCAACATTTTTATTGCAATTTTCGAACCAAGTCCAAACAGCATTTTACACTAGGTAAAGATAACGAATATAAGCTTATCGTAAGCTGAAACACGGTGTTAGCGTCCAACTTAATCCATCCCACATTCTACTTACGTTCTGAATGTTTATGCGCACATGGGTCAACATTCAGTAGAGAGCCCACTCCATCCCAAAAGTCCGGACTGAAAGAAGAAGGGATACTCTCCCTTATAAGTTGGTCATGGCCTCTTCCCATAAGCGAGGTGGGACTAAACCAAGCTAACCTCCATTGGTGGACAGCAGCCCTAACATTCCATCCCCTGAGAAGCCCGTCACGAAGGCATGACGATGCTGGCTCTGATACCAGATGTTGATCTATCTCACACTCTACTTACGTTCTGAACGTTTATGCGCACATAGGCCAACATTCAGTAAAGAGCCCACTCCATCTCAAAAGTCCGGACTGAAAGGAGGAGGAATACTCTCCCTTATAAGTTGGTCATGGCCTCCTCCCGTAAGCGAGGTGGGACTAAACCAAGCCAGCCTCCACTGATGGACAGCAGCCCTAACACACGGCCATCAAAGTTCGGCCAGCTAAGCAACAATTCGAACAAGACTTTCCATGTAGGGGATTACGTTGAAGAAGAAGATATTCTGCTTAGTAGTGCGTCTCCTCCGGCCTTTGTATCTTAGCCCTTCCAACTCACACATGTTCGTCAGGTTCTGGTTTGGAGCCTGCAGCTCGTAGCGGTAGAAAATGGGACCAACTTGTAACATGATTGCGCCCCCTGGAAGAAGCGACATTGGTTGAACCAGATCAGATATATAGAGAGAGTAACGATGCTCCCAACGAGAGTCCACAGTATGGTCTTCAACTAACATCCAGACCGCCACTTCCGTCGTAGTCTTGGTAAAACCTGTCAGGCAAATCTCGCCCTGCATCTCGTCCAGCAAGAAGGATTCATCGAGCATACGGTTCAATGACAACATATCCGGTAGACGAATGACGCTGAACGTCTCATCTTCTAGGCTGAAGCGGACAATGCCATTTGGATCATGCTCAAGATGGTAGCTGTCAATGGGCCAAAACAATCCACCGTTTACAAATTTCCCGGTAATCCACTCAACAACAGGGTAGGACAAATCAACAGTGGTTTCCCTCCAAGAAGTACTTGCCTCACCAACAGTGAACACCTCCATCCCCATGCGTTACACTTCTGTGAGAGGATCTTTAGAGCGTACGAACACCCTGACCACCTTGTACGTGCCAGTGCGATGATCCAAACCGAACCCCACTGGGAGGAATATATGTTTGTACTGCATTTTGGTGCGGCTACTTTCAGGCAGCGTCATTGTGTCCCTGGTGGCCGGATTGAAGAGGTAGAGCCTGGTGTTGGTGGGGACGAGCACCAGACCATCACAATGGGCAAAGTGAGAGACCGAGCTGAATTCGCCCGAAAAGTCTGTTGTGTGCATCAGTCTTGTACTCCCTCCGTTCCTTTTTAGTCCGCATATAAGGTTTGGTCAAAGTCAAGTTTTGTAGAGTTTGACTAATTTTATATTAAAAAATATAAACATTCACAATATGAAATCAACATTATCAGATGCACCATGAAACGTATTTTCATACTATATAGTTTTAGTATTGTAGATGTTCATATTTTTTTATACAAATTTGGTCAAACTTTGTGTAGTTTGACTTTGACCGAATCTTATATGCGGAGTAAAAAGAAACGGAGGGAGTATCTGGGACGTCTAGCTGCCACCGGTAGAAGCAAATTTGGGTTGAGAAGGTGGTTGGCCAGTCCTCTCCTTCGATAATACTGTCAAAAGCATGGGGAGTGATGAGCCAGGAGGGTTTCTGGCGCAGAAGGTGCCTCCGGATGAACACGGGGTCGGAGATTATTGTGCACCAGGCCTTGCTGACAGACTTGAACCACAGGAGGGATTTGACTGGCAACCGAAAAAGAATCTCTAGAACAAGCTCTTCCAGCAACTCGGGGGTGCATCTTGGCGCCTTCCTCTTCCTCTTAAGTCTTCAAGTCCATGGCGTACATGCAGCAAGAAACAGACTACGAAGCTTAATAACTCGGCATTGTTAGTGCATATATGTAACAATATATAAGATGAGCACAGCCGCCAAAACCGAGTCCGGGCATCAAAGTATTCTCGAGAAAAAGGGACCGGGTCCGTGGCTGTCTATAAGAAAATATATATCCTTTTTTTAGGACGCGTCTAACCGGCGGCCGGCTGCCCACTAGCCCTCCGTGGTGGCCGGCCGAAAAAGATAAGTTTTTGTCTCCCTGATTTATATTAGGAAAAGTAAACAGGTGTGAATATATGTCAAGAGAATAAATAATTGCAATCATACATGTGAACAAATGTGAACGCATTTAATTTGTGTTTTCAGTTTTTTAAAAAACCATAACTTTCAAACGGCGAATCGAAATTAGGATCTGTTTTCACTGTTGGAACCCTCGCGACGTGCTTTTCAAAAATAGATTCTGCATGGAGATATTTCGACGAACTAGTTTTCTTGCTAACTAAACATCAATGTCTGTGCAACTAACTATATTACCGCGCCAACTGAGCATATGTGTGTGCCAATAGTCGTGCCAACTAAACATCAATGTGTGTGCAACTAAACTACATTGCCGCGCCAACTGAGCATGTGTGTGCCAATAGTCCTGCCAACTATATATTAATGTGTGTGCAACTAGACTATATTGTCGCGTTAATTGCACATATATGTGTGCAACTAGTGCCCTGCCAACTAAACATCAATGTGTGTGCAACTAGACTATATTACAAGCCAACTAAGCATATGTGTGTGCAACTAGTCTTCCTGCCAACTAAACATCAATGTGTGTGCAATTAGACTATGTTACATGCCAACTAAACATCAATGTGTGTGCAACTAGACTACATTACAAACTATGACAATTCATATGGGACTATGCGGATCAAATTGTGCAAGTCTGTGGCCATCCATGTGCCAACTATGACTACTATGTGTGCAATTAACTACTGTGAATGCAACTCCAAAAAATTGGGTTTAAAAAAATCACACCATGCAATACTAAAGTTGCACAGAGCAGTACTGAAGTTGCACAATATAGCGTCAAAGTTGGCATTAATTTTTTTTTATCGAAACATACCCATGCGGGATCTAGTTTCAAAGATCTCATCGCAAAGAATTCAACAGTGAAGACGGATCTAAATTCCGACGCATTGTTTGAAAGATATAGCTTTTTAAAAAAATTGGAAAACCAAAATAATTATACGTAAAGTTGTTTCTTTCAAATCGGACTAACCAGTGTGAACATATTAAATACTAATAACGACATGCACTAGTAGACAAAAAAACAACTCATACATGGCTAGGAAGCCCGGCCGTTCGTTGTCTCCAAATAGTATGTATGCACCTTTTAGATTTTAGGTTTTTTTAAAATGATCTCTCCTTACAACAAACAGAGATTTGCCCACAGGAATCAATTTTCTCTGCTGGTAACGACAACACCGAGATTACACATATAACAAATTAAAAAATATATCTTCCAAAAGAAGGACACAAACATCACCAACAAAAAGAATCAATTTTTTTCATACAATCAAACGGAACCACCCTGACCAAGCAAACATTTTTCTAAAAACAAATCGCCAAAAAAAAAACTTTTGCTTCCCGAAGAAGGGAGCGGATAGCCAAAAAAAAATCATTTTTTTTCATCACCACAAAGGAGAATAAGGCAGAAGAAGCACAACGTTTCCACGACATCAATACCAATCAAACGAAGATTGCGCACAACAAATAAATCAGTTTTAAACTGTGGATGTGTCTAGGGTACATCTACATATGCTCTAATTATTGCACATCTAAGTAAGTGAATCAAGTATAAAAAAAATATCCACACGAATCTTAACATAAGATCAATGACATAGGACTTAAATATGCAATACTTATTGCATATCTAGATGTGCTTTAGCAAAACTGTTAAACTATCCCTCCGTTAAGAACCAAATGGAGATTACCGGTAAAAGAATCGATTTTTCCGAAACAACCAAACGAGATTAGCCACAAAAAGGAGTACAATTGCCATCTCGTCTCAACTAAAATTGTCATGAAAACGTGCTTAAAATCTGAATATTCGGGATTTATCAGGATCCACTGTTTCACAATTCATCCACTTTTACAATCAAACAGAGATTACCAACAAAACGAAGAGTTAATTTCAACATAAAAACCAAACCGATATCACCGACATATTTTCAAACGATTTCTCCCGAAACAACGAAATCAATATTACCTGGGAAACAAACAATTTTGGCGAACAAAATAGATACCCAGTTTATAAGATAATAATAATAGAAGGAAGACAAAACAGAGTTGAATCAATCTGTGAGATCCCAAAACTGGTTCAGATCTGGCACATGTATTCCGGAAAAAAGATGGAGTAATCAAGTACAGATTATCATATGGTCAGAATTGACTTACATCAAGTCTCCGACCTTCCACCACATGGATGCAGAACTCTTGGGCCTTCTTCTTGACGACGTCGAGAAATACAGCGCGCTCCGCCGACCGTAACCAGAGATGTCGCCGCCCCGTGCGCTGATCTGCACCTAGATCCCATTAGAACGGTTCTAGATGGGCGGCGGTGGCCGCCGCCGGCATCTAGGGCTTGTTCGCTGCTCGAGGGGATTGGCCGTGTTTTTTTCGGGGTATTTGATTTTTTGCCACAACTTACTTCGCACATGATAATTTGCCACTACATACATTGTAATTGATCTGTTGCCATTCTTTACTTGGAACTTTGATCTTTTGTCCTATGTCAACTGGGTCCCACGTAAAATGTTCAGAATACCCTATGTTAGATTAACAAGGAACGGGCGCACACACAAGAGACGGCGGCGCTCCGGTGGCAGTCGACAGCCTTTCCGGGCGACTTCCCTCCCGCACGCGGTATCCAGCGGCGGCTGTTGGTGCTCACGACTGCTCACGGTGTGGCGCGCATCCCCGCACCGGCACTTGACCGGGCTTGTCCGATGCGGCGTTCCGGCGCACGCAAGGCGCCTGCCAGCGATGCGCAGCCCGACCTCCTTGTTCGACCTGGAGGGGACGCCATCTGAGGAAACTCGCGTCGGAGGAAGCCCGGTACGTCCTGCTCGGCCACCGAAGGCGGCGAGGGCAAGAACAACAGCGATCGTGACTGCCTGGCCGACGGGCTGAGGACCCGATTCCCCAGGCTGGAGCTCCCGTCGCGCGGCGTGTGCAACAGCTGGTGGCAGTGGCGCGTGCAACGGCGACGGCAGTAGCCTGGTCGCGCGAACGGGAGGAGCAGAGGAGCTCGGGCATGGTGGAGAGGACGCTGGGAGCAAGTCGTGATTCCTCCAACACACGCGCTGTCAACAGCGAGCAGAGCGAGGCGGCGCTGGTCGTCCGCAGCTGAGTGGGCTGGCTTCCCCTGCTACCTGCACCACACCGCCGGGCCCAGCCCCAGCCCCAACCACGGCGTCTGCCTCCCCAAACCAGCCACGGCTGAGCTATGTTCATCCCGATTTGGGGAATCGGCTGGACTATGGTTGTTTCGGTCAAAAAAGGTATGTAAGGGTATACTTGTCCACTCTTTTATGCATACAATATGTTTTTCGTTTATAAGTATTCTTTTTGTGTGAAAAAGTGGCAAAAGATCAAAGTGCAAACTAAAGAATGGCAAAAGATCAATTACAATATAAGCAGTGACAAATTATCAAAGTCCAAAGTAAGTAGTGGCTTAAAATCAAATCGCCCGTTTTCTCCTAATATCTTTCACCTACCATTGATTTGGGGAAACGATGAAGAAGGGCCTCTTCAATTTAAACAGATGTGATGAAACGTGTGTCTGTGTGTGGGAACCGGCTCCTCTACTGTGGCGAAGGCACGGTAGGGTGCTACAGTAGCCTACCTTTGGGCCACATATCAGCCTTCAGATCTAGTATGAATGGATCAGATTTCTTGCTACAGAACATAAACAGTGTACATGCTACAGTATGGAAATAGTATATCTTGCTACAGGATTCAAACAGTAAAACACTGCCACAGTGTATCCTGTCGTGCCTTACGTATTTTCCATTGCACATGTTACTGTAGAACCCTACCATGCCTTCACCACGGGAGAGGTAGAGGAGCCGGTTTGCTGTGTGTGTGGTTCCCACCCCACTATGCACGC